CCCTAAACCCTAAACCCTCAGGGGTTAGAGCAACTAGGAATTTGGGGACTTGAGGGCTTCAAGGGTTTACGGTGTGTAAAGGTGTAAGGTCTGCGGATTTGATTGTTTTTAGGGGTACAGTATGGGTTTAGGGTTTAGGGTTATGGGTGCGGCGGCTTAGGCTTCACGGTGTTTTTAAGGCGCATGCCATTGGGCTGGGAGGTTTGAAGCATGACTGCGACTGTTAGTACTATGCGCCTATGGCTATGAGCAGCACGGGTCGTGTTCCGACGTGTATTTGCAACGTTACCCGCGTCTGCTAGTAATTTCACTGTTGCAGCTCGCCACTGCACGCTTCGTTTGCCATCTTTGCCATCTCTGGCATTGTCTGTAGCTGCTGTATCATCAGCAGCCAACATTACAATTTCAAGCATCTCCACCATCATCATATCCAGTCACAATCGGGTTGTTCTTTGTTGAACTGATGTCATTCGCTTCTTTCTTCATTTACATCTGGCGTTCTTTCGTTGGTTAGATCGCTTGCTGGCTCGTTCGGTTTGTTGTTTGCTTTTCGGTTGCTCGTTCGTGAATCGATGTCATGCCATTGTTTCATTCGGCCTTTTCCGTTTAGGAAGTGGTCGTTCTTCCACAGGCATTGTCGCTATTAAACATACGGATTTCATTTGTTTGCTGGTTCTCTCTGTGGCTCGTGCGCTTTGTTTTGTATGTTCCTTCCTGCGTCCTGCGTTGCTTCGTCCATTCGTGCATTCGTTCATTCACATGATGCGTCCTTCTCTCCTTCCCTCCCTCCGTCCCTCGCTCGCGTCCTTCCTTCCGGCCTGCCTTCACTGCCTTCTCACCGTCACCCCTAAACCCTAAACCCTAAACCCTAAACCCCTAAACCCTAAAGCCTAAACCCTCCAGCCACAACGCACGAAACATGGAAGCTGCAGGTGCGGTTGGAACGCAAGCGAGGAGATGGCAGCAGCTTGGCATGGCATTCCAGTCTACATGCTCTGCCAGATCGAGTCTATTGACGGTTAGGGTTTAGGATTTAGGGTTTAGGGTTTAGGGTTTAGGGTTTAGGGTTTAGGGTTTAGGGTCCTCCTTCAGTACAGCCACTTCTTGTGATGCTCGGCTCAATGCCTACCGGGGGCTCTCGCAG